ATGTGCTGTTGAATTTGGTTTGCCAGAATTTTATTGAAGATTTTTGTATCAATGTTAATCATGGATATTGGCTTGAAATTGTTTTTTTTAGTTGCATCTCTGCCAGGTTTTGGTATCAGGATGATGTTGGTCTCATAAAATGAGTTAGGGAGGATTCCCTCTTTTTGTATTGTTTAGAATAGTTTCAGAAGGATTGGTACCAGCTCCTCTTTGTACTGCTGGTAGAATTTGGCTGTGAACCCGTCTGGTCCTGGACTTTTTTGGCTTGGTACTCTATTAATTGCTGTCTCAACTTCAGCCCTTGTTATTGATCTATTCAGGGATTCAACTTCTTCTTGGTTTAGTCTTGGGAGGGTGTAAGTGTCCAGGAATTTATCCATTTCTTCTAGATTTACTGAATGTGAAAAAATTTTTGCAATCTATCCATCTGACAAAGGGCTAATATCCAGAATTTACAAAAAACTTAAACAAATTTACAAAAAAACCCCCAAAACCAAAAAGCCCCACCAAAAAGTGGGCAAAGGATATGAATAGACACTTCTCAAAAGAAGATATTTATGCAGCCAACAAACATATGAAAAAATGCTCATCATCACTGGTCATTAGAGAAATGCAAATCAAAACCACATTGAGTTACCATCTCACGCAGTTAGAATGGTGATCATTAAAAAATCTGGAGACAACAGATGCTGGCATGGATGTGGAGAAATAGGAACACTTTTACACTGTTGGTGGGAGTATAACTTAGTTCAACCATTGTGAAAGACAGGTTGTAAATATACCCAAAGGACTATAAATCATTCTGTTATAAAGACACATGCGCATGTATGTTCATTGCAGCACTGTTTACAATAGCAAAGACTTGGAACCAACCCAAATGCCCATCAAGGATAGACTGGATAAAGAAAATGTGGCACGTATATACCATGGAATACTATGCAGCCATGAGAAGGAGTTCATGTCCTTTGCAGGGCTATGGATGAATCTGGAAACCATCATTCTCAGCAATTTGACACAAGAACAGAAAATCAAACACCGCATGTTCTTATTCATAAGTGGGTGTTGAACAATGAGAACACATGGACACAGGGAGGGGAACATCACACATCAGGGCCTGTTGAGAGGTTGGGGAGCTAGGGGAGGGATAACAGGGGGTGGGGGATTGGGGAAGGATAACATTAGGAGAAATACCTAATGTAGATGATGGGGGTATGGATGCAGAAAACTACCATGGCATGTGTATGCCTATTTAACAATCCTGCATGATCTGCACATGTACCCCAGAACTTAAAGTATAATAATAAAAAAGAAAAAAAATGCATATCCTTGGGCTTCACCCCAGAAATAGTGAATCAGAATCTCTGAGAGTGGGGTCCAGCAATCGATGGTTTTACAGGTGTTCCAGGTGGTTCTGATATATGCTAAAGTGGGAAAATCATTGTTTTACAGAAATTCATTTCATTACGTCATTCAATAAATATTTACTGAGTATTTAATAATTTCTAGGCTTGATAATACAGCATTATAAACAAACACCCAAACTGTTGCTCTCTTACAACTTACATTCTTGTGGACAATGTGGAAAACTCAAAGGAAACAAGAAATTAATTAGTTGGAATGTATCATTTTTGGCCCTGCAAGATGCTGTTTTTAGTGACCACAATGTTAGAGGCAGGCCATTGTCAAAGATTCAAGGTAAGCCTTTGGAATTGAACCCGATTTATTTCATTTGAAAATGCAAATTACGTTCCCTGTCATGGTCATCTCTCCTGGGACTATTTTCAACATTTCTATTTGATACTCAGGATCTGTGGTTTACACAAATGGATAGTTGATCTACATATATATGTTTTCAAAAACAATTTGTTGATCATCTTTCTGTGATTGACACTGTAGAAGAGGCATTGGAAATGCACTAATCGACGTGATCATTGGTATCTGGGCTGTTATTCTGGGAAGGAATAGCATTGAACCACATGATATCAAGGACATACAACTAACAGTCAACAATAGATGGCTTATGGTATTAAATACGTATAAATAAACATTCTTATCATAAAGTATTTGAGGAAGAGTGGGTCCTGAGCATTGGGTATTAGGTAGGCTGGAATCAATAGGAAATAACCATCTTTCTTGTAGCTAGTCATTTATTCAAATGCTATTTTTTTCAACTTTGAAAATATTTATAATAAAACATGCAAATAAGTCAGAAGATAAGTTCAGTAAACACCATATAATTTTCTTTTCTTTTTTTTTTGTAGAAAGTGATTTATTTAGAGAAAGAGAGAAACAGGAGAAGGAGAGAGAGAAAGAAACAGCTAATTCTCATACTGAGTGAGAGAATCCAGAAAGGTGGAATGCAGGAGAGGAAAGCAGCTTCCACACTGAGTGGAAGGGAAGAGAATTGGAGTTTAGGAGAAGAGAGGCTTCCACGAAGGGAGTGTTTGTGGAAGGGGAAATTTTTCTTTTTCTCTCTTTACACACACACACACACGCACAAATTTTCCAGTCCACTTGAAAGCCTAGGTTGCAGATGTTAATAATTGAGCATAGATCTCTTAAGATTAAGGACATTTGTCTAAATTATCACAATGCCATTACGATTTCTAACAAAATAACAGTAATTCCAGAAACCATAAAATATCCAATTCCTCCTTCAATATCTACATTTTTCTGAAGAATGTGTTTTTCCCTCCCTATGATTTTCCAGTCAAGGAATCATACCAATCATTTTGCTTGTCTGTTTCCCTGGTTTCTTTTAATTTAGAATAATTCTTCTATTTTGTTTTCTCCATGATGTTGACTTTTTAAATATTTCAGGTCAGTTATCATGTAGGATCACTCACATTCTTCATTTGTCTGATTATTTCCTTTTGTTGTCATTTAATGTGTACCTCTATGCCTTCAATTTACTGTACACTGGAATGTAGGTATACAGGCTTGATTGGATTTCATTCAGTAAGTGTTTGACTACCTATAATGTGACAGATACAGTGTGGTAAGCAAAATGGATGAAGCTTTACTCTTAAGAAGTTCAAATAGTATTGGGAAAAACTTAAACATATTATAAACCTATAGAAAGATAAATTCTCCTATGGTAAGTGCTATAATTAAAATTAAACAAGATGATGTGACAGTTAGTTAGTGACAGTTAATGGTATAGGAGGTGACCAAGCAAGACCATACTGTGGAAGTGATATTTGAGTTTTGACCTGGATGAAAATGGCAGGAATTGGGTGTTGGGGATGAAGAAAATCAACTTGCTAAACCCATTGACTAATGCAAACACTTCTTAGAAATTGTTGAATTTCACGAGTTTTTGAATGAAAGAAGGGAGAGCTTGGGAAGTACTAACTTAGGAATTTTAGAAGAATCATCATGTGAGCCAATAGACAGGGGTTGGTGGGAACAGTTTTGACCAATCAGGTAAGAATTCCAGTGAGTTGTGAAGCCCTTCCCTTTGGTTACTAGCTGCATACATATCCATCTGCATACAAAATACACATCTAATAGAAGGGATCTGGTCCATGAGTAATTTCTTAGCCAGCATTTGACATATCCCACAGAAGACGCTTTTGACCTGTCAGTAAAATCTGGGTGGGTGCAGTGACATTAACATAATGAACAAAAAAGATAAATTTTTAAAAAAAGTAATCAAGAGGTATAGTTAAAACCACACCCAGTAAAATTGATCAGTTTTATCCACATAAGTTGTTAAAATACCATACAAACTTTTTTGGGAGTTGCCTGCCAAAATATCCAGTCTCACACAGTGGAAAGTTGGGATAGTAGAATTAATCTCAGTTCTTCTGCCATATTTATCATCTTTGTTATCTCTTCAAAATGCATGGCTTCCTATTACTCAGGTCTATTTTTATGAGTTGCAGAAATTCACTTTGGATCTGTGCATGGATGTGACGTTCTTAAGCACATGCAAATAAAAGTCAGTAGGGACATGTGTTGTGAACAGAGAGGGGAACTGAAGAAGATTCCTTTTAAGAGAATTTTCATTTGGTTCCTTGGCAGAAAAACAATAAAAAACTAGATATTCGAGGGCACCTGTATGCTATAATAGTGTGGTAGATAACGGTGACAGATGAAATACCCACCTACACACATAGTACACATCTAATAGGAGGTATCTATTCCCTGGGTAATTTCTCAACCTGTATTGTACATAGCCCTTGGGAGAGGTTTTAAGCACCTGTCAGAAAGATCAAAGGAAATGCCGTTTCTGGAAGTAGATGGTGAGGAAGCCGACTGAATTCTGGCTATTGAGAAGAGCATCTTCAGGGAGAGAAATACACTGGAGCACCTGACGTTCCTCATAACTGTTTTCCATAACTGCTCTTCACATTAGGCCTCAGTCTGCCCATCTGTGAAACCCATCTGTGAAATGCGTTTAGTGAAAATGCTTGTCATATTGGTATGTCAAGAAAAACAACTAAAAAAAGACATTTATCAGTTATGTAGTATTTCTAGGGATTGGTAAGCAATTCTTATGGTTCTGTGCAGGTTGGGTTCTGTTTTTCATTTATGTGTTTCATAGGAAAATGGTTTGTGTGTGTGTGTGTGTGTCTGTGTGTGTGTATGTATGCACGTTGCTGGCTCAAGAGAAGTGAAAGGATAAATTTCTACTATTTTTCTGTTATAGTAGAAAGAATTTTCAGGAAAATTAGTAGTTAACTTGCATACTTTCAAAAGACTGTGATTTAGAGCAATGCTGTCTATCAGAACTTTCTGAGATCAGAGAAATGCTAACTCTGCGTTATTCAACACGATAGCCACTGGCCATGTGTGGCTATGAAGCTCATGGAATGTACCTGGTATGAATGAGGAAGTGAATTTAATTTAATTTAGTTTAATCTTAATTTAAAATTAGCCACATGTGGCTGGTGGCTACCATTTTGGGTAGAGCAGGTTTAAAGAGATGTTGAAAGATGCTTTTTTTCTTGCTTGCTATTTTTTTTTTTTTTTTTTTTTTTTTTGTTTGCTGAGAAGTCCAGCTGACTCTATTGCTTTGGGAGCAGGGGGCTCAGGAGCTCTTGGTGGGGCAGGTACGCCTCCTCTTCATCATCACAGCCTTCTGGCTGCGCAAGATGGCACTGGCCTTGTGGACAGCTGCCATGCCCAGGTCGGGCCGGTACTTGTTCTTGCGTGTCATGTGTCTGATGCTGTTGAGCGTGGCGCGAGCATTCTTGCTGATGGTGGTCTGCACGCAGGAGGTGGCAGGCTTCCGCTGGCCGGATCTCCGCTTCATGACCAGCACGACACCTCTGCCATCAGCTGCCGGCGCCACGCCCACAGTCTTGCGGTGAATCAGCCCGCCGTAGCGGAAGGAGTTGCGGGCCTCCAGGTTGTTGGGCCCTGTGCTGTGGGTCTGCTTGTTCCCCTCGATCAGGAGACTGGAGCAGTTCCGCACGACCATCCATTGCAGATGCATAGACATGGCGGCGGCTGCTCTCGCGGCGGCGACCTGAGGTGGAAAGAGCTTTTTATAAGAAAGGTCAATATCCAGTTATACAGTCTACACATTAGGTTATTATAGTCTTATATTCTGATTATTAGTATATTTTTATTGTTTTCATGCCTGAATTACATTCCCAAATGTAATCAACGTATGCCACGGTGCTCATATTTACGGATGTTCATGTCTTCTTCATTGTCTTGTAGTATTTGCAATGCTATCTGCCTCTCCTTTAAGATGGCATATTAGCCACCTTCATGCTGGAGCATCGTGAGTTTCTTCCTTATTCTCTCCTCGGCCTTTTCCTCTTCTTTCCTGTGTCCTTCAATATGTGGATATTCACTACAACTCAGACTTACTCTTTTGGATTCAGCACAAAGCTCTGACTCACGTGTTCTGTGAGAAAATATGTCTATTTCTGATCTTCCAGTGGTCTATCTTAGCATCTCACACTTTCTTCTTGAAATTTCCTATTTGATGCTTAAAAATCTAGGTTTAGAATTAAAATCTAACTCATGATTTCTCTCCCAAAATTAACTCCTCATAGGAATGTTGAAAAGGCACTGTTTTATTTTCTATTATCTAAACCTGAAGGCTTAGCCATCATTGACTTTTCACACTTCTTTGTACTCCCTCTCAACTCAGTCAATACATCCTAGCTGTTCTTCCTTTTTTAAATGTTTTTTTTTTTTCCCCCAATTGACACTCCATGACTTTGTATCTCCTCCTTGTGCAAGGGCTATGCTAAATTCTGATTTATTCTAATTTTAGTATATATGCTGCCAAAATGAGAACAGTTCTTTCTTTTTAATAAGTATTAGGTTATAATTTGTTTCCTTTCCCTTTGTCCATACCCAGGCTTAGATCTTCTTTAGTTGACATTCATTATTTTTAGTCCCAAAATTGGTGTTATTACCTTCAATCTCAATTGGGGCTGTACTACCCACTTTAATTCTCTTTCATCCGAATGTCCTTCATGCATATCCTTCAGGTACATTGGACTACTCATTCTTGGTGATTCAGTCTTGCTTTTCCAACCATGTGCTTTTGCTTAAAACAGCTTAGCTGACAAAATAGTTGCCTTAGTTGTATATTCAAATCCTACATGCCAAGTCTTTAAGGTTTATTCTAATATTCATACATTATTCATCAACTACTTAGTGAGTGTATGCTCTATGCAGCCATTGAGCTGGGCACTAAAGACAAAATGGGAACATGATCTCTGCTTTCAAGGAATTGACATTTTAGTGGGAGAATCTGACAAGTAAATAGAAAGTTATGATAAGTGTAATAAACTTTCATCTCATCATGCTCTGGAAATCATCTTAAGCCATGTTGGTTCCTCAGAACTAAGAGATTACTCTTAATTACACTTAATTATATTACTAATTTTTATCTGTTTCTCTATCACTGATACATTTTAATTTGTTAATCTTATTTAGTTGATTAGACTATAAATTCCTTAAGGGCAGAAAGTAAATTTTGTATGGCTGAATATATCCCATGGCCTCTAGCCAACAATATTTTATATAAAAAGTACATATTCAATATCCAGCAATTTATAAGAGAACCATTTTTTAACCTTTGGGAATCTTGCCTATACACTACATAATAATTTATCTGCCCATATAAAATAGAGGAATATAGTGAGAGAAAGTTTTGTTTGTCCATATTCAGTTTATATTGAATGCCACATTTTTTTTTTCCAGTTCTGCTGTTGAGCCTAGCCACCGAGCTTTTTATTTTGTTTTTATTTGTATAGGCTTTTGGGGAACAGGAGGTGGTTGGTTACATGAATAAGTTCTTTAGTGGTGATTTCTGAGATTTTGGTGCACCCATCACTCGAGCAGTGTACACTATACCCAATGTGTAGTCTTTGAGCCCTCACCCCTCCCACCCTTCCCCCTGAGTCCCCAAAGTTCATTGTATCATTCATATGTCTTTTTGTCTTCGTAGCTTAGCTACCACTTATGAGTGATAACATGCAATGTTTGGTTTTCCATTCCTGAGTTACTTAACTTAGAATTATGGTCTCCAGTTCTATCCAGGTTGCTGCAAATGCTATCACTTTGTTCTTTTTTATGGCTAAGTAGTATATATGTATGGAGAGAGAGAGAGAGAGAGAGAGACAGACAATGGAATTATATATATATAATGTAGTGTATAGACCACATTTTCTTTATTTACTCGTTGATTGATGGATATTAGGGCTGGTTCCCTATTTTTGCAATTGCCAATTGTGCTGCTATAAACATGTGTGTGCAAGTATCTTTTTCATATGACTTCTTTTTCTCTAGATAGATACCCAGGAGTGAGATATCTGGATCAAATGGTAGATCTACTTTTGGTTCTTTATATATATATATACACATTTAATTGCACTTTAGGTTCTGGGGTACATGTGAAGAGCATGCAGAATTATTACATAGGTACAAACATGGCGATGTGGTTTCCTGCCTCCATCCCAATCACCTATATCTGGCATTACTCCCCATGTTATTCCTTCCCAACTCCCTACCCTCACTGTCCCTCCCCTAGTGCCCCCAACAGACCTCAGTGTGTGATGCTCCCTCCCCTAGCCCCCAACAGACCTCAGTGATGCTCCCCTCCCTGTGTCCATGTGTTCTCATTGTTCAACACCCACCTGTGAGTGAGAACATGCAGTGTTTGATTTTCTGTTCTTGTGTCAGTTTGCTGAATATGATGGTTTCCAGGTTCATCCGTGTCCCTACAAAGGATACGAACTCATTTTTTATGGCTGCATAGTATTCCATGGTGTATATGTGCCACATTTTCCCTGTCCAGTCTATCATCAGTGGGCATTTGGGTTGGTTCCAAGTCTTTGCTATTGTCAGCAGTGCCACAGTGAACATTTGTGTGCATGTGCCTTTATAATAGAGCAATTTATAATCCTTTGGATATATACCCAGTAATGGAATTGCTGGGTCAAATGGAATTTCTATTTCTAGGTCCTTGAGGAATTGCCACATTGTCTTCCACAATGGTTGAACTAATTTACACTCCCTCCAACAGTGTAAAAGTGTTCCTATTTCTCCACATCCTCTCCAGCATCTGTTGTGTCCAGATTTTTTAATGATCACCATTCTAACTGGTGTGATTTGGTATCTCAATGTGGTTTTGATTTGCATTTCTCTAATGACCAATGATGATGAGCATTTTTTCATATGTTTGTTGGCTGCTTGTCTTTTTTTTGAGAAGTGTCTGTTCCTATCCCTTGCCCACTTCTGAATGGGGTTGTTTGTTTGCTTTTCTAGTAAATTTGTTAAGTTCTTTGTAAATTCTGGATATTAGTGCTTTGTCTGGATATTAGTGCTTTGTCATTAGTGCTTAATCAGTGTAGATTAAAAACATTTTTTTCCATTGTGTTGATTGCTGGTTCTCTCTATTGATAGTTTCTTTTATTGTGTGGAAGCTCTGGAGTTTCGTTGGATCCCATTTGTCTACTTTGGCTTTTGTTACCATTGCTTTTGGTGTTTTAGTCATGAAGTCCTTGCCTATGCCTATATCCTGAATGGTTTTTCCTAGGTTTTCTTCTAGGTTTTTTATGGTGTTAGGTCTTATGTTTAAGTCTTTAAACCATCTGGAGTTAATTTTCGTGTAAGGTGTCAGGAAGGGGTCCAGTTTCTGCTTTCTGCACATGGCTAGCCAGTTTTCCCAACACCATTTATTAAACAGGGAATCCTTTCACCATTGCTTGTTTTTGTCAAGCTTGTCAAAGATCAGATGGTTGTAGATGTGTGGCTTTGCCTCCCAGGCCTCTGTTCTGTTCCATCTGTCTATATCTCTGTTTTGGTACCAGTACTATGCTGTTTTGATTACCGTAGGCTTGTAGTATAGTTTGAAGTCAGGTAGTGTGATGCCTCCTGCTTTATTCTTTTTGTTTAGAATTGACTTGGCTGTGCGGGATCTCTTTTGGTTCCATATGAACTTTAAGGTGTTTTTTTCCAGTTCTGTGAAGAAGGTCATTGGTAACTTGATGGGGATAGTGTTGAATCTATAAATTACTTTGGTCAGTATGGCTATTTTCATGATATTGATTCTTCCTAACCATGAGCATGGAATGTTTTTCCGTTTGTTTATGTCCTCTCTTCTTTGAGCAGTGGTTTTAGTTCTCCTTGAAGAGTTCCTTTACATCCTTTGTTAGTTGTATTCCTAGGTATTTTATTCTCTTTGAAGCAATTGTGAATGGCTGTTCATTCTTGCTTTGGCTCTCTTTAGGTCTGTTATTGATGTATAGGAATGCTTGTGATTTTTGCACGTTGGTTTGTATCCTGAGACTTTGCTGAAGTTACTTCTCAGCTTCAGGAGAATTTGTGCTGAGACGATGGGGTCTTCTAAATATACAGTCATATGGTCTGCAAATAGAGACAGTGTGACTTCCTCCTTTCTTAAGTGAATACACTTTATTTCTCTTTCTTGCCTGATTGCTCTGGCCAGAACTTCTGGTACTATATTGAACAGGAGTGGTGAGAGAGGGCATCCTTGTCTAGTGCCAGATTTCAAAGAGGATGCTTCTAGTTTTTGCCCATTTAGTATGATATTGGCTGTAGGTTTGTCGTAAATAGCTTTTATTATTTTGAGATTCGTTCAATCGATACCTAGTTTATTGAGAGTTTTTAGCATAAAAAGCTGTTGAATTTTGTCGAAGAACTCCTCTGCATCTATTGAGAGAATAATGTGGATTTTGTCTTTGGTTCTGTTTATGTGGTGGATTACATTTATAGACTTCATATGTTTTGCATCCCTGGTATGAAACCTACTTGATTGTGATGGATGAGCTTCTTGATGTATTGTTGCAATTGGTTTGCCAGTATTCTATTGAAGATTTTTGCACTATGTTCATCATGGATATTGGCCTAAAGTTTTCTTTTCTTGTTGAGTCTCTGCCAGGTTTTGGTATCAGGATGATGCTGGTCTCATAATATGATTTGGGAAGGATTCCCTCTTTTTGGTTTGTTTGGAATAGTTTCAGAAAGAGTGGTACCAGGTCCTCTT